CGGCGCGGTTGCGAGCGGCGCGCCGTCTGGCACCGACCCTGACCCAGGCGCCGCCGGAAGCGCTGGGGGGTGGCGCGAACAAGCGTCACAGCACGGACGTAGTGGGCGGCGGTGCATCGGCGGCGGTGCATCAGCGGCGACCGGCGTGGCTCTGGGGCATGATTGCAGTCGTGACGTTATCGTCGGGCCTCTGAGTGGTTTGCAGTCGGCGATCATGGCCATTGGCTGACGAAGTCACTGCTTAGGAACCGGGACGGCAGGATTCGACGGGCGACGGTGTTATCGCCAGTGGCGTCACCGCAGTGCCCCTGAACTTTCGACGGAAGGGGTCCCACAAGGTGATGTCAGATGAACTGTTCTGTGGTACTATCAAACTCTACAGGAGTAACACTAAGGTGACGTTGTTGGCCTTGGGTCATGGTGCCACTAATTTTTGACCAACGCGTCACCGATGGGACGTCGACGAGCCGTATCAAAGCACCTCGAAACCTCGCTTCGCTACGATGACATCAGAGTGCTGGCACCATGTCCCCTCTCCGTCTTCCCGAGACGTCGAGCACGTCAGGGTGGCGGGACCACCGGGCGGGCCGGGCCGTCACCGGCGGCCGCTGACGCCCCTGCCCGGGCCTGCCGTCAGTGGCGTCATTAGGGCTCCGGCTGGCGGGCCGCTCTCGGCGGCCGGAGGCGGACCGGCTCGTTTGCCTGGCCGTCCGGTCTAATCGCCAGACTGATGCCCGCGGCGCCAGCACAAACAAACGGACGGCGGCTGCGGAGGCGTGGGACCTGGACTGGCCGGCCAGTCGCCGCCGCGCCGCTCGCCAGCTCAACGCTCCTCCGACGGCGTCACTGAGCGTTAATATTAGTCATTTATGGTTTGCGTTTCAGTTTTCTCCCGCGCCTCTATCATGAAAACTCAGGCTGACTGATGGTCCGTTGCAAGTGGGGCAGAGCCGTATTGCCACTAAAGAAATGCTTATCTTGGCGACTTAAGATTAGTTTAATGAGACAGTGTGTCTCATGCATGATGTCAAATCCGTCCCATCGAGTTAGCTTCGGTGTGAGTCATGAAGCTAAAGCTCCCTGCGCTAAAGCAAGCTCACGTCACGCTTGAAAAGTACACGATGCAGAAGACACGAAATCGCCAGCATCATCACAAGGAAGCAATTGTTTTCACGACCTTTGCTGTCAGTGTGGCCAACCGCAACACGAACGGCCCCCAGCCCCCCCCCCCCCCCTCCCCCACCCCCGCGCCTCATTTGTCGGTTTCAGAGAAGAGGAGTAAACACAGCGTTGGGCCGCGCCGTCGCACTCGTACGAGCCGTCCTGCTACTGTTCCGGGAGCTGTGCTTACGTTCGGCTCCGATGGCGCTCGCACGAGGCCTTGTTCGGCTGTCGGCTGCGCGGAGGACCGCCGCCTGAGAGAGCCGGTCCGCCCGCTCCGCTCTGTTTGTAAATGTTTGCACGGCTTCTGAACGGCCGCCCAGCGTGACAGTGATCACCGTCTGCACACCAGCGCTGACGAAACGCGGCATTTCGCCAGTCGGATCCGAGAGTAGTTGGATTTGGAATCGGGCTCGGATTCAGATTTGAGGTGAGAATATCTTTGAACAGATTTAAATGTTTGCGTGGAAACCGTGGACTAGTACTATGCAGTGGTAAGGACGGGCGATTTGCTTATATACAGAACCGACATATGCGTGTAGCATTTAATTCAACTGAAGGAAATGTGAACCCAGGCAATGTTTGATACATTTGAATGTGTGAAATATACATCATGCATTTCAGGATTGGATGCGGTTTAACACCCAAAATCATCATTTTCGAATCCTCTTGTTTAACGTTCGGGAGTTCTCAAAATTCCAAATTATTCAAGTCTATTTGAATCCTGCGCATCCCACTCATCAGCTGCATTGTATATCAATCGGTGGTTTGTGTCTGGAACGAAAGACCTAAGCGTTTGAGAAATGTTCATTAACGACGTTTGTTGCGCGTTCATTAACGCGGACATCCCCCCTGTCAGCATTATCTCTGCATTCCCACTTTGTTCGTTCCGCACTTTATGGCTGATTGAGCCCGTCACGCTAAGCTGTCAGCTGCAGTGACCTTGAATCTGTCGGCCGTATACCCGTCACAAGCGCACAGTGCTACCATGACGCTACCGTTGGTACCACTGGCGTCACGCGTCATTAGTCATTCCCGCAGCATAGGCGTGACCTGTTCGGCTTCGCCCACACTTGCATGACGTAACCACTGGGTCCCACACGCCGACGCAGACACGCCTGCAGCTCCCAGCAACGCCCCACATGTTCTGGAAGAAGGCGGTACATCGCTCAGCCACCTCCGTCTGACACGGGAACGTCGGGCCAGCAGGGAGTGGTGCCACGCCGCGTCGGACTAAACTGCAGCGTGTTAACTGCACGCGCGAGGCCGCGGGGCAATCGAAGGATATCCCCTCTATCTAAAGACTTCATGATATCGGTAAACTCACGGATATCTGTATTTAATGAGGAACGGCTTGGGCTGGAAACCTATTTGGGAGAAAACAGATTACGGCTATGGACACGGGTATGGGTATGGGTAGGACGTTTACGAACTTTGGTGGAAACTGCAAGAAATACTACACTATTGCTTGTAAGCCTCTTAGTCACAATGAACTTCAACTCACTTTTTTTGCAAACATCAACGCATACATAATCAATATTGTAACTACCAACGAAAATTTGTGCGTGGAATGTCCTGAAACGTTTTATAATATAGAAATAACATGCATAAAGATGCAAACGGGTGTTTGACGGATGGTTACAGCTGATAGAATGGATGACGGTTGGGTATGACCACAGCCTGATGAGTAAGATGTGGAGTGGTGGATTTGGTAAAGAAGATTTTACCCGCGGAGTTATCTGGCTCCATCCTGTACAATAGTCGCTTCCGGTTCCGACAACGCTAGACTTTCGATCCCAGAAAGACAAAGCGCGGATCGATCCTTTTGAGCTCACCTCGCATCCCAGCCAGACGGCGAAGGTGAAAAAACATTCGTATAGTGAAGATTAAGAATTCTTATGCTGTTCATCCTTCTAGCAGCGTTCATTAACTTCGAACACATACTTTTGTGCACTGTTGTCACATTTTGAATGACTAAGTTTCGTGGCGGAGTCTGGGCTTTTTGTCGATTTCCGGCGCTATTTTAAGTCGGCATTTGGCGTGGCCCGCTATTTCTGCCTGTAAAAACTTCCAGCTCGGTGCGGTACAACTGCCATGGAAAAAACATGATGACTCAACTTTGGCTTATACGTTACGAGGGTTATTTGTCACATTTGCTAGATTCATGTCGGGGATATCCCGCAAAGCAGCCAAATCAACAAGACAGATTGAACAGGGCGCTGAATAAGGGGATTAAAAATGGTTATGTGGATGTGCAAAGGCTACGGCTTAATAGAAAACAATGGGCGATAAAACATAGTCCGGCGATTGAATCAACAACGTATGCCTAGCCTTTCCAAGAACGACAAAAATACGATGCAAGAAAGGTCCAACTAAACGCCTTCGCGGAAAAATGCTGCCTGTGTCTGTCACCACTTGCACCATATTCGGCCTCGTACATTCAAATGTACTCGGATTGGGCCTCACAGGGATAAGCTTTGACAAACAGGTAGGTGGAGTGGATGGCCTTCAGGGCGCCATACAGAAAACCGCTGCAATGAATGGAAGTGCCAGAGCCGTCAGTCGCCGGTCACTGCCCCCAGATGGCAGTGGCATCGGACGGTTACGGCGCCGCCGCCCACCATCGGCGGCGGGTCAGACGGCCTGGCCGCTTCATGTCCATCCCCGTCGCAGCGCTACAGACGGTGCTGTCAATACCTGACGAATGGATCCGTCCGGTGTCTGGGACGGCTGTGACCTATCTGTCCCCCTCTCCCAGCCGCCCGAAAGCTCAGAGCTTTTGGCACGATCTCTGCAATGGAAAAAGGCATCGCACTTCGTGCAGTGTTTAACTTTTACGGGGGCATGGACAGATATATCGGACCACACCAGGCTTCGTGCCGCCGGTACAGCATGGGTCAAATCGCTAGCAATAACCGCTACGAAAGGTCAGGAAGCCATATCAGCCATGTCTCAATCCTGTATCTGGCTAGTGGAGCTTTTAAGACGAACAAGCTGTTAAAATTTTTAATTGCCGCTGTAATGGTTTTACTGACGACAAACAACACAAAACGTCGAGGCCGAGGCATTCGTGCCACAGCGCATTGGTCCTGGGAGGCAAATTTTGAAGCTTAGTAAGTAGTCTTACTCGGCACCGAAAAGTACAACAAAAGACTGATAAATATGTTTTCGTGCTGCGGTTGCTTGGATTGTCGGTGTGATTTGATGGGGTCCTGCGCATGCGAGCGTTTGTATTCGGTGTTCTCGTGTCCGGACAACTGTCCTGTCCCATTGGGCCTGGGAATTCTTACCACGCTGGCGAAAATGCCTTCTTCGTGAGCTACTGGCTGTGGGTTATCAACCCAACGGTCGCTGGACGTGACCTCCAATACCCATGTGGAAGCCAGATCGTCTCATCACTCGCCATTCCCCCGCGGAGGCTGGCGGCCATGTGGGAGCCAGATCGTCTCACCACTCATCATTCCCTACAGAGGCTGGCGGCCATGTGGGAGCCAGATCGTCTCACCACTCATCATTCCCTACAGAGGCTGACGGCCATGTGGAAGCCGGATCGTCTCACTACTCACCATTCCCCCGCAGAGGCTGACGGCCATGTGGGAGCCAGATCGTCTCACCACTCATCATTCTCTACAGAGGCTGACGGCCATGTGGAAGCCGGATCGTCTCACTACCCACCATTCCCCCGCAGAGGCTGACGGCCATGTGGGAGCCATATCGTCTCACCACTCATCATTCCCTACAGAGGCTGACGGTCATGTGGGAGCCAGATCGTCTCACCACTCACCATTTCCTTACAGGGGCTGAGAGCAATGTGGAAGCCGGATCGTCTCACTACTCACCATTCCCCCGCAGAGGCTGACGGCCACCTCCGAGCCGGGCTCGTGCTCCACCTCGCCCCGGTAGAAGCAGCGGGCGGTAGCCTTGTGCAGCAGCTCCACCTCGCTGAAGTTGCGGTGCTCGCGCTGCACGCGCAGCTGAGGCCCGGCGAACCCGTCGTCCAGCCGCAGGCGCAGCGTCAGGTCACGGCCGAACGCCCGCAGCCGGTAGCGGACCGGCTCGTCGGCCTGGTCCACATCGGCGCCGCTCGGCGCTGAGGTCAGCGCCGCCGATAGCGATAGCTTCTGCGGCCAGGTCCACTCCGTCTGCGGCGAGTCATCTGCCGGGCAGCGGCAGACGGGTCAGCGGCGGGGCAGCCGCAGACCGGTCAGCGGCGGGGCAGGGGCAGACCGGTCAGTGGCGGGGCAGGGGCACACGGGTCAGTGGCGGGGCAGGGACAGATCGGTCAGAGGTGGGGCAGCGGCAGACTGGTCAGCGGCGGGGCAGGGGCAGACCGGTCAGTGGCGGGGCAGGGGCACACGGGTCAGTGGCGGGGCAGGGGCACACGGGTCAGTGGCGGGGCAGGGACAGATCAGTCAGAGGTGGGGCAGCGGCAGACTGGTCAGCGGCGGGGCAGCGGCGGGGTAGCGGCAGACGGGTCAGCGGCGGGCAGTGGCAGGTGTTGGTGACCGGGCAGGGAAAGGTGTCGGTGACGGGACAGGAAGAGGTGTTGGTGACGGGGCAGCGGGAAGAAGGTATCAGCGGAGAAGGGGGAGGCAGCGACAGGGCAGAGCTACGAGGCATTTACAATGCAAGGGAGAGGCGACGGAGGAAGGGCGTGGAGGAAAAGGCAGTGACGGAGCAGAACGGTGCGGAGCGGTGACAACGCAGAGGAGAGGAGGCAGAGGCAGGACATAGGGAAGAAAGCAACAACGAGATGGAGTAGATGAGGCAGCAAGTGGTTTGGGAATGCGGTACCCATGACCGCAACGGCTCGTGGAACTCTTGTATCTTCATTGTTTGCATCTGATAGTACTATATACGTGGTCTCTTACTGGATTTGCTCTCACCTACAACAGAATCGTGGCTTGTAACATGTTCTCGCCGAGTCATTTCTGAATAAGCCGGAGCTGCCTTACACAACCACAATCGTCCATCGTAAAGGTTGGCTTCATGTGACAAAAGCAAAGGTTGGAAAGTCGGTAGAGACTTCCGCATTTGATATTTTTCAGTTTGGAGATCAAAGAAGTGCCTTCATTTTGTGGTGGATGGACGTTTAACGAACCGCAAGAGGTTGTCAGTTTGTGAGGAGATTTCGGCCGTGCAAATTAAATTATCTGAAATCAAGCGACTAGAACTATCTTCCACGCACGGCTTAACGTTCTTGAGCTGTTGCCAAAGAGTTCCTTTTGGCTTCAAAATGCTAACAGAGCCGTGCTTTTGCTTCCATTAATATTGTCCGCTTGGTGTAGTCTGCTGGCACCACCTCTGCTCCGTCTCACAGCTGGACATTACGCCGACCCCCAGCTGTTGAATGTTCCATGAAATGCCTCAGAATTGTATGTTTGATCAATATATATAGCAGACGCGTTCATTCAATCGTTTTTATGTACCTAAATCACGCAAATCCCCAAATCCTTATTCATTAATGTATTTGACTGTGCCCAATACAGGTCATTGGCAATTACTTTTTCAGTTGAAAGTTCCATCGCAACTCTGCTGAGTCTGTGGCTCATGCATTTTATTTGTGCTGAAATCGCTTTTTCAATCCTCTTTTAAAACACTTTTTAACACGGTAAGCTTTTCAATGCTGGAACAGTCAAGTAATAAAGCGTTATGACATCTCCTGCCGGATATATAAGTAACAATTGTTTTAATCAATCAAGTCAATATAGCTAATTATCGATGTCATTGTTTATCATGTTGAGCTGGTCATTTTTGATGGTCACGGGAAACATACTGAGTGTTTTGATAGTGGCTGATGGCATGTGTCACAGCCTGTTACACGATGTTTCCAGAGATTGTTGTAAATTCTAAACTATCCACTCTGAGTAATATACTTTAAAAATTGTTTGACTGTTTGCAATACAAACTTGCTGCAGCGTCGCTAATCGATCCATGTCTTGGGAAATTTGTGGTGAAAAGCAAAATATTTCTTAAATAATTGTAAGAACAGCACAAAAATTAGAAGTTAATTTGCGAGCGGCCGAAAACCGTATCAGTTGGCATCAGTTTACGATCGATCGGATTTATTCATCTTCGATCGACATTACTGATGTCCGCAGGGCACGCGCGGTGTGAAACGCTACTGGAGCCGCGCGTCGTGACGCGCCGCACGCGTCACGAATCGTCACGTCTCGCTACACCGCCAACCTGCGGCAGACCGCTCGGCGAAGGGCGCCGCGGGTCGGCGCCAGGGGGGCAGCTGGCGAGCGTCATCAGACGATGACGTATGTCCTCACTAAAAGAAGTCGCAAACTAAGGCAGTTATATCAGATCCAGAACGTCAAACTCGGCGAGGATCGTGACAACCACACAAACGGCTTTCTAACTGTCCCATCTGTGTGGGTCGCATCAGCATACAAATAGCTAGTGCATCGCTGCCTGCACCGTGCCTTCCAATCAGTGACAGTTGTGAGTGACGGCAGAGGCGCGCCTGCCGCTGGCTGGACCACCCACTGGTGTTGGCACGCTCCAGCGGTGCTGCTGAGAGGCGCGCTGGTGAGCCCCTCACACCCCTGACCGCGGCCAGGCGGCCAGTTCCTGGCCGTGCTACGTACCGCCGGCAGGAGGAGGCGGTAACACGCAGCGAACGCGTGCGAACTTCGCATACACGGCTTGAGTTCTGCACTCGCGTTGTGCGTGTTCTGTGTGTTTCGAAGCAAGGCAGACCATTAATCCTCCGACGGTAAAATGGACGATTAGGCCGATGCATACCGGCCACTCATCAACATGACTACAAATAATTAATAGTGTACATCTTTTAAAACACGCGTCGGTTGTAGTTAGTCACTGACAACAGAGCACCAGAACTTCATGATCTTTTAAGATAATCGAGAGCATTGATAGAACGTTCCTCGTGATTGCACACCTAATTTCATGATGAGCACATTGGCTCGCATGTGAATCGGGAAGAGGAGCTCGACTGTGGACGAGAACTGAAATTGAGAAGGAGAGCTCGACTGTGGACGAGCACTGGACACGACAGCATGAAGGAGACCTGATGGAAACGTTCCGAGACATGCCGGCATGACGTCCACAGTTATATGCAAAAACAGAAGTGGAGCGTCGTGGCGGTACTTCTTCAAAGCTCCAACCATACAATTTGAGATAATGGCTTATACTTCATCGAGCTTCCAAATTATCATGCAACAACTTATTCCATGAACGTCGAATGGTGAACGGTACCATGGCAACTTGGAGGCATTGGTTAATAATTGCGCCTTCTTACAGCCACCTCCCCGCGCCCACGGCTATACCGACCGCTGTCCAGACCGTGCAACGGGGGGGGGGGGGCCTGGGGGTACCGTAACGCAGCGCCAGACATGCGCACACCATCCACAGCTGCACAGGGGGATGGCGTAGGGTCAACACAGGCCTCGGCTCTAGCAGGCCCGCCGGCCGGCGCCACGGGCATAAGCCGCCGCGGCAGCAGCCTGGAGCCCCTGGAGCCGCCGCAGACATCGACCGCCGCCGTGCGGCCGGCCCGTGGCGGGGACCGTCGCAGGCGGGCCGGCCGGCTGCCAGCGGCGGCCACGGCCAGGGTCAAGGCTGTCTGCAGAGTCTGGCGACCGTTGGACGCGGCCGGCTGGCAGTGCCCAGGCCTGGCTGGCCACCGCTGCCGCTCAGGCCGGAAGCGGTCGGACACGGTGGTCACAGATGGAGAAAGGAGGAATCAGTAGGTGGTTTATGTTCTTCATGCTCTGGACGTGCTAATTGTTGCGCATGGTGGGTCAGGTAGGGTGTGAGAGGACACGTGACACGGCTGCGAGGAAATCGTGACGATGTAGTGGGGAAATGGGCAGGAAGTAGGATGTCAAGCCCCAGCCATAAATTGTCACTGAAATAATGCACACCACTGCTGCTCTGGAACCCACAACCCACTGCCTGGTAATCCCTCTGTCGCCGCTCAAAGTCTTAACACTCCCGGTGATGAGTGGTGAGACAGAATACCGGTTATGACAAAGGCGACCGCGGGAGAGCTCTGGTCCAGTTCTAGCGAAGGCAGTACTCATCTAGGCGCACTGGTTCGCTCACGAACAGAGGTACCAGCCTATGAGCATCGAATATCAATGAGCTTCAAATTCAACGTCACTCCATTTGGCACTGGACACTGACGAATGCCTTGCAAGAGGCCGTACGGTCCCAAGCGACACAACCTAGTGCGAATAAGGTGCAAAACTGACCGATGCTTTAACGTTAACCGTAAGCTGCAGAGCAGGCCGCCAGAGCACGTGAGAGCGCCCAGCAACGACGGTCGCCGTCCCCGGGCTGGGCCAATGGGAGCCGGAGGTGTCACGAGGCATCGCGCCGCGCCCCGGCGCGGGTGCTGGCCGCCGCATGACGCTGCAGGCCGCCCAGCCGTAGCACACGAGTAGCGCCGACTCACGCTGGCATCCCAGCGTGCACAGGTGTGCCGTGACGCGACGCGACTGCACACCTGCACCAGCAGACGAACTGCCGGCTCGGAAGCCCCGGGGTCCGGCGGGGGCACGACTGCACACCTGCACCAGCAGACGAACTGCCGGCTTGGAAGCCCCGGGGTGCACCAGCAGACGTACTGCCGGCTCAGAAGCCCCGGGGTCGGGCTGGGCGACACGACTGCACACCTGCACCAGCAGACGAACTTCCGGCTTGGAAGCCCCGGGGTGCACCAGCAGACGTACTGCCGGCTCAGAAGCTCCAGGGTCGGGCTGGGCGACACGACTGCACTCCTGCACCAGCAGACGAACTGCCGGCTCAGATATCCTGGGGTGCACCAGCAGACGTACTGCCGGCTCAGAAGCCCCGGGGTCGGGCTGGGCGACACGACTGCACTCCTGCACCAGCAGACGAACTGCCGGCTCAGATGCTCTGGGGTGCACCAGCAGACGTACTGGCGGCTCAGAAGCCCCGGGGTCGGGCTGGGCGACACGACTGCACTCCTGCACCAGCAGACGAACTGCCGGCTCAGATGCCCTGGGATGCACCAGCAGACGTACTGCCGGCTCAGAAGCCCCGAGGTCGGGCTGGGCGACACGACTGCACTCCTGCACCAGCAGACGAACTGCCGGCTCAGATGCCCTGGGGTGCACCAGCAGACGTACTGCCGGCTCAGAAGCCCCGGGGTCGGGCTGGGCG